TATATCCGGAAGCGCAATAATGAATTAATCCTACATAGACACTTAACGCTCTAACAGGCCAAATGAAATTTTACCTATATTTTTAATTGTTTTCGGGTTGTTGTCCGAACAGATGATATTTGGGGGAGGGACGCCATTGCTCTAGATGAAAAGCCTTCAATTTCGAACTCGTCCCAAATATTACCAGCTCTATTTATGGGTATGCCTAAACGATATAAGTAAAGTATATGAGTCAAATGCAGTAAAGAGAAACATGTCATTTGGACAGATTTATTTCTGAAGCAGTCTATAATGGAATGACATGAAATCCTTAAGTAAATCCTCCCCCTTATATAGAAAAATACATGGAATTGTGTGGATTTGGATAGCCGCTTGTAACAATTCAAATATTTGCTGCTTGTGTATTTTTGTAAATTGGTCTCTAAACAATTTATTTATTTTTTGTATTAATATATTTTTTCCAGAGATTCAACATTATGTATAACTTGTGCATAAGCTTGTCATAAAGCGCTCAAGGGAAGACACCATTGATATCATATTGCATAATTATGATATCTATGGAAGACACGTCTATCGGTGGATACTCAGACAGGATCTTATCTTAATCCTTATCGGTAATGTATGAACTTGTTTTGAATGAAGATATTATAACTTTTATTATTATTATTAATACAATGCTACATAATATTTTGGTCCTTGGTTTACCCTTTTCCTATTTTGTCGATTTTGGTAAAAAGAGTTTTCTCCCTTGAACTGTGATTTTGTGCCGGAAGTGGTGGATACCATAATATCAATATGGCGCATGACTTGACACATAACGAAGGATAAAAGATAAAATTATACTAATTATGTAGAAAATCTTTAAAAGAAATGAGTATTTTTTAAAGAAAACAATGGCCAAGTGTAAACAAACAGCCGAAGAGTTCATCCAGAACACCTTCAGTCCGCACGTTGCTGTGTTGTGTAGCGCTGAAGCTGAGCTTATCTGTCAAAAAAATAATTTGACTTTTGTGCAGCTGATTCAACCATTCTGCAGGCTGCCAACAGAAGGTAATTTATGTTGCTAGTGTTCTTATGATACCTTCTCGTCTGTTAGGTACAGATATTAAAATCAAAATGCAGCAGATGTAGCTAGCTTGAGAGTCTTACATGACATTGACCTTGTGACTGAGATAGTGCTGTCATTACCAAATCAGTGTCATCACCTCCCAAAAAGGGCCTGATAGCATCACAGTATAACTAGGGCCTAGTGGCATCCATTGTAATATAGAAAGTTAAAGATATCCAAGGATTATAGATGCATGAGATTTAACTTGTATAGTAAAGTAAAATCAAAATCTGAGTGTTTTGAGTGTTGCCCACATGCTAATTTTCTCCTAAAACAAAATTTTAATCTTATACAACAATTTGATTACTCCGACCTATTCAACCAATAACCCGTATAATAATACAGTATATGAGGTTATTCTTTTACATCCGCAGAAAAAGGAACATTCAAAAGGTTTTTAAATCTGACTGTTTATATACGTGTTATGTAATTGGTTGGTTTTGGGTTATTTACAATCAAGCTAAAAACAAGAGGTTTTGATCACAAGAACCACGCTTTTACGAGCTTCCAAACGGTACCAAAAAGTCAAAATGACCAATGGCATTTACAAGGTTTCAAGCGGTCACCCACAATATGTTGGATTGTGGAAAATTTGATAAAGTTCTTGACTTTGAACATCTGGCTCCACAGTATTTCAATTTATTAATTTTCATTTCAGTACATACTAGAGATCCAAATAATCTTCCTCATGTGATCCGAAATTTACGTCTAAATGTATGTGATATGACCAATCCTGGTTACCCTACTCAACCAGCAGCTATTAGAAAATTATTGAATGATTCTGTTGCTAATACACAGTTACCATCTCGAGATGGTGGCAAGTCTAATGTATTGTCAGTAGGCAACTATGATCTACAATTGAATTGTAAGTACCAGTATGAGTTTAAGAGTAATAGAATAGATTACTACATCAGAAAAGCTTATACCAAAGAAACATTGTTAGCTATTGGAACCCTCAATAGTCATAGCAGCCAAATTGACTTTTGCAGGTGCAGAGTAGCATTTATGCACTTTTTAAAATGTTATAAACCAGACCAGGCATTATTGATAGATTGTATATCTTAATTGATATGGTTATTTTGCCATTTGTTTGTTGGAGCAATGATTTTTGTGATATTCTTGTTACCAAAAAGAGCAAACTGTTTTATCAATGGATGGAAAATATATTTCTGCATGTTATTATAGCCAAAAGACTTACACTTGTGTAAAATGATCTTTTATTTTCAGCTTCAACACCATGGTTTGAGTCTTATCGTGACATGTATTTGAAAATCATGCCAGCATCAGATCATGAATATCTGAATAATTGTTTAGCATGTATCCTTTTTCATATAAACAACTTGCTGGTTTATCAGTGGGTAGATAAATCTCAAGCAGGTATCTGATTTACTTGTTATATTTTAAAATATTTAAGTAATAGTCAAAGAGCAGGGTTTTTACTAGGAAATTTGGTAAAAGAAATTTGAAAATCTTACTATTTTTCCAAAAACGTTTAGCATATGAAGTTCATGAAACAAGGATTACTGTAAATAACCTTAAGTAATAATTTTACAATGCTAACAAAAATGGATAACCTTTTTTTCTGCATGTACTCACCATTAAGTTTTTCTTATTTCCTTAACCTATAAAATAGGTGTATTTATAGTATCATCTAGTAATAATGATCCAATAGCTACATTTCAAGGTTTAGGTAACCAACAATTACAACAACAACAACAATTCCCTAATAAATCACCACGCTGGTTCTGTCAGGGAATATTACATTATTTTGTATTATTACATGATGTTAGTGAAGGGGAGCAAGCAAGGTATGTCATTAGACTTTTTGTGTATTTTTGTTTTGACTAAAAAAAAAATTCAGAGTTACAGCCCTTGATATACTCAAATATGTTGGCCGTTTTTGCTTGGCAACTGCTCATTCTTTTTCATAAAGCATTTTTACCAAAATATAGTTTATATATTTATGTTTGATTTGTTTTTTTTTTTTTCAGAGCTGAATCAATTTACCAAATTATGAAATCTACATTCCCACCACACTGCTGTCATTTACTACAGATCAATTCTCGATCCTTACAGACAATAGATACATTACAATCAGAAACTACTTTACCTGATCCTTGGAGTCAGTTTATACCTAAACCCCCTGAACCAGTGGTAAGTTACTTTTCTTTCATATAATAAGCTTGAATGATATAATATGCAATATCCAAGAAAGCCAATTTAGGGAAAAAAAAGATTTGTTTATGTGTATGCTATTTTCCAGTCTTAATTAAAACAGATTGGACTTGTTTGCAGTTTTACAATTTTATTACAAAAAAAACTTAAGTATTTATGGTAATTTTAAAATGTCTCCTATTCATATTACCATACTTAACATATCAATATTCATAGGCAAAAGGGTTAAGAAAGGATTTTAGTTTGTCAAGATTAAACCTGCTGTCTCAGTATCCCAGTGAAGATGTAATGCGTTATTTTAACATTGTTCCTTTCCTTATGAATGCAACAAATATTCAAAAGACCTATTTTGGTATTATTGCTAAAGGTGCGATCACACAAGATTTTTGTCGCTGACTCGATTCTTGTGTAAAATCTTGTGTGGGCCCTTTCTTCCACAACAAGATTATCTTGTCACAGACAGGATTTATAATATCAAACAAGTTTGATAATTGTCTCCAATACTTTTATTGTCTGCAAGACAGACTGTCATCATCTGATCAGATTCACTGATTGGCAACAAAAGAAACTGCTCATATGCCTGTGCCTTAACTGTTATATATATATTATAACATAAGCTTCATATAGTTTCTACCTAACATATATATAAGCTTTTAACATCCAGTCTTGTCATTAATAATACCTCTATCCTGAACCTCTAATGCTTTATTACAGATCCAATATGTACACAAACCTCGCTATTTTATAGCCTGGGTAAGATTTGTGCCAATGTTAACCATATCATTAGCTATCAATGTTGGCTTTATCCTGTTATTTTTCTTATTCATGTCCATGAATCCATATTAGTCAAATTTTCTTTTTACACATCCATTTCAATACACTGGCACTTTCAACTAATATGAAAAACATCATTTTGGTATTTTGGTTGCTGCTTTTAAGTACTTTGCTACTTCTGACCTTTTGCTAAGAGGTCAAATAAAACTGTTTTCATCTGTCTAAATAGATGTTCAAGCTTTTTCTAAGAACTGTAGACATTCTGCTTTGGGTTTACATTATGCCTTCTTTGTGTACACTATTTATGCCTTATGGAGCATGCTCTAATTTTAACCTCTTCAGGCATGTGAACTTATCTTCCATATTGCACTTGTATCATTATTTCTTGTTATTGATTTTTCTATATTGGGTAGCTTTCATATAGAGTTGTTGGTCCTTGCAGTCCATTTCAATCTCTCTTTACATATTTTACAAGATTCTTAATATATATTCTTGAGACTTTGATTCTAAGATGCTAAAAATGAATTTTGGGTGTGAAATATGTTTTTTTCCAGGCAAAATACCATTTTAAAATGATCTTGTGTTATAGGGAGTATATTTTGGTTCTTAGTAATTTGGATTACATAAATCTGATGAAATGTCATTAGAACATTGGTTACATGATCACTTATTTTGGGACTACTTTTCAAACGATAACCGAGATTGAAAGGGACTGCAAGTATTGACAACTCTGTATCAGAGATTGTCCCAAGGACTAATGGTTAAATATCTGTTGATGTCACTTTTTTGGAGCCGAAGATGATTTGAGCTTCGAATCAGCCCTTGCTTCTAACAAATTAAACATGCTTTAGAACAATTCTTGCTCTTTGATTAGATTTGAACATATGTTTAAACACCATTCTGCGGATGTTAATCAAACTTTAGCTTACTAACATCTAATTTGAATCTGATTAACAACTAACAAATTAAATTACTAACAAATCTAATATATTTGATCAACAAATGATTTGACAGTGATCTATTTACAGGAGGGTGTGGACTATGATTATAATGAGAGTGAGGTTGCAGCCTTCCCAACTCATCTGTCAGAAGGTACTGATCAACCTAGTGATGAAGCTATTCTGAAACGGTCTTTAGATTCTACAGCAGATCTTCAAGAAAGATCCAATTTAGGTTGGTAGTATTGAAATAATAAAAGGACATTATTTAATGTGGCTTTGAAGGGTATAATTTAGAAGTGAATGTTTCATAATCTGAAAAATCATGCTAATAGTGAAGATTAGACTGTTTTGACAAAGTTATTAGCATATGAATTTCAGACAACTTCTTTATTGGCTACAAGGAAAAAAACTACATTACAAAAACTGTAGATTTCTGTTCAATGGAGAAAGATTTGGATGTCATTTGTTAATTGTCATTTTCTTTCAGGTCGCTCTTTATCAGGATCAATACCATCTCTATCTGGTTCAGTTTCCTCATTACCTGGTTCTATACCCAATCTAGCTAATCCTTTGATGGATCATCCTCTAGCTTTCTCTCACACAGAAGTTCAAAATACTATTGGTGAATCTTCACCAGTAGATGGCGATCCAACTGCTGCTGCCAATGGTTACCAAGATGGCCGAAGTTCTTCCTCTGTCAATACTGATAAAAATAAACATAAAGGACATGGAATTTGTCTGACAAGTAGTGACATGGATAGGCTACGCATCTTTATGCATGAGTTTGTTGTAAAAGCATTAATACCTTGGGCTGAGAGACAGATGAAAATATTCAGTGAACAGGTAAATTTTCTTACTTTTTCTTCTTCTTTTGTCAAAGGGACGCCAATTGGTCATTTTCAAACGTTAATCATTGGTTAGTTAGACATAATCAAGGGCAAAACGTTTCTGTAACAAGCGGCATTCACATCTGACCATTGCAAACTGCTTTTCTCTCTGAAAATAATCCATAAAAGTTATCATCTTATGGTCATGCATGCTTCATCTCATTATTAATTCTGGCCATATCATCTAAATCAAAATTTGATTATTATTTTCCAGTTAGCATCACGTAAAGGCATACATAGATCTATATTTAGTGCTACTAAGAAATGGTTTGGTGGTAATAAACCCTCTGGTTATGTACAAGCTAATCAAAATACTACTGTGGTGTAAGTATTTCTTGTTTTCTTACAAACTCCATTTTTGAATTTGGCCTGTCATTGACTTATATGCATTTAAGATCTAATGATAAAATCTGGTTGCTTCCTTCTTAATTTTCAAAAATAGATTTGTGTTAATATGTCAGATGGGAAAAATTCTGATCATAGTTTTGATTGTTCATTTCAAATTCCCTTTCTGTTTACCAAGTAATTGTTTCAATTCTTCATTTCAGCTGCCTTTGCTAAAGCAAAATGAACTTGTTTTGATCATACAATTATGCGCAGCAGCATTTTAAAAACTTTATTTTTCCACTTTTCAGATATACCTCAGATGCTCCCGAACTTCAACTACGAAGAATGGCTGATCTGGCATTTTTATTTCAAATGTATGAATTTGCTTATCAGACCTATCATACTGCTAAAAGAGACTTTAATAATGATCATGCTTGGTTACATTTAGCTGGTGCTTTGGTAAGTTGCAGAATTATGTGGTGTTAGCTTAGCTTTATAATTGTGTAGTATTTTATTTTCATGAGAAGCAAAGATGGACGCCTATAAGATAAAAATATTATGCTTGATTTAAAAGTTAATTCTTAGTGCTTAATTTTTAAACCTAATTTACAATTAGTGCTTAATTAATTGCTGATTTGTATTAAGAAGATATCCTTAGCTTTCATCATTAGCTGCTTAGCTTACTGGTTACTCAGAATAACAAAATTTAAACCATGTATTTGAATGTTGGTTTATGATTCTGTTGTAGGAAATGGCCAGTTTATCTATATTTATGCAAGGTATTCAAGCTCAAAGACCTTATCCACATCATTATATGGAATCAGCCATAACAACTTATATAGCCTCTTGTAGGTAAGTCAAATGACTTAAACCAGGCTCTCATCTAGTGATAAAATTAGTATTTACCTGGCCACGTTCTTGAAACAATCTTAGCTCTAGGATGTCCTAGAGTCAATGTTAGAAGATAGAACCTAGGACATCCTAGCGGTAAGATCGTTTTGAGAATAAGCGTGCTGGTTCCTAACAACAGGTCAGTGCCAGTCAATTTTCTAATTAAAAAGTTCTTAGTGTGGTGAATTAGAAAACCTTACTTTGTTATATATGGTATTCTGTCTTTCAATGTCTTTTGAATTTTCATTAGCAAAGCCTGTAACATACAAAGCTATGCTGCCTGATATTATTTGGCATTTCAAGAATTTCTCTCCATTTACAGAAATCCACAGTTTGCTACTAGAGCAACTTTAACAAGTACAGAAGCATTAAAAAGTAGAGGAATGTTCCATGAGGCAGCTACACAGTTTTTTAAGCTCATATGTGAGGTGAGGGATATACTTTTTAAGCTTTTATTCTCGTTTCAAAGAATCAGCTTGATATTTAATATTTTCTGACCTCTTGTTAACTAATTGAAAAAAGAATTTATTTAGCCGTCTGCTCGTTATTGTGAAAATTATAGGTTAGATATAGGTATAATTCTGTTCGTTTCAGATGTAATGAAATATTGACAGTTAAAAGAACTGCATATCTAAAGCGCCACATTTTTATATCTTTCAGGAATCTGATCTATCTAGTGCTCTATTTTTGGAACAATCTGCTCACTGTTTTATAAATATGAAGTCACCTTTAGTTCGGAGGTATTCATTTCACATGATTCTAGCTGGTCATAGATTTAATAAAGCAGTTCAGGTGAGTTACTCTTGAGTTATGTTGACACTTGCGTGATAAATGGTCCTGAACATGTAGGGTCGATCTTGGTATAGATAGTTCAAATTTTTTAACCTTGTATTTCCCTTTTGACGATTGAGGTAAAACTGGGCTTATTTGAAAAATCGTACAGGCATGGGATGGACCACTAGGTGTCCATGGGAAATCGAAAGGAAGAAAAAGTGCAAAAATTTTCCTTGGCATACTCTACTTGTCGGCTGATCTAACTTGTAACTAATAAATTTCATTCTTGAATTTATGTTGGATCTCATTTTATTAAACATTGTTTTATTTTCAGAGAAAACATGCTTTACGAGCTTATTCTCAAGCATTACAGATTTATAAAGGCAAACATTGGTCCATTGCTGAGGTAACTTTTCAATATAATTCAAAAACTTCTTAAACTATGATTGGTCAATTCCATCAACTATCATCAACCAATCAGTGTTCTTTTAATAACAGAAATGTAACTACATTTATTATAATGATCTTTTTGATATTTACAGGATCACATCCACTTTACTATTGGTAGACAATCATTCAATTTAAAACAATTAGAGAATGCTACGGCTGCATTTAAACATCTTCTAAGTGAGGACAGCCGTCAAATTCCATCTCAACAAAACTCTTATCTTAGAGAGTATCTTTTTGTTTACAAGGTAAGTAAGTCATCTACAGCCACTAAGAGATTTGTTATATGTAGTTATTCGCCTATATTATTGTTTTAGGGATTGAGATTTTCTAAACATTTTTTGTGTATATCGGCGACACTGTCAGGATTAATTTGTACTATTTTGATTTTCAGTCAGATGTCTGTGTTCTTGCGTTTTATGATGTGGCTTACAATTGTGATGCAAATATAATCCTCAGATTTTTTTTTTGAGCAATCTGCAACAGACTGCATTAGCAGAAATTTGAGCTGATCTATGTTTATGTCTATGAAATCCTTAAAGATTTGAAAACATTTTTCTATGTAATATGTTGCATTGTAGCAATTACTAAGTCAAGAAGCTGGTGAGAATAGTTCCTATGGAAGATTACCAGAATTACCTCTACCTAATGTTAACGCTAATCTAACTAAAGTTTTACTAGGAAAGAAGTCATTATCTTCAGGTATGCATTTAACATATGGCTTGCGCAAACTTTTCCATGCTAAATCTTGATTTTATTATATATAATATATACAGTGGTTATTTTTTTAAATGATTGGACGTATTAAGTTGGCTGTCAGTATTTTTGAGGGGTTGACGTTGGAATGGGACAATAAAATGAGGGCCCGTTTGTTACAGGCTGTGCACATTAAAGATCCCTGGCAAAATTTCCCTCATTGCACACTGTATGGACATTTTAATGAGTGTAATAACATCAACCAATCAGGGTTCTTAGTATTACATGTATAGTGTTTAAACTATAACAAGCTACAAATGAATCCATATAATGGGCTGTCAGTGATATAAAAGACCATTTATCTTTATAGACAATGTACGTAAAACCAGTGCATCTGGTATATGGTTTAGTGATGATGATAATAATGGTGTATGGAGAAATCTAGAAGAGCAGTTAGTAAGATCAGCTAACAATGGTACCTTACCTATAAAATACCAACAAACTATACAGTGTTTTACTAATCAAACAGAAAATAAATATAGTCCTACTGGTTTTGTTGGAGGTATGTATTACTTATTCAAGTCAAGACTTGTATCACTGTGATTTCTGTAGGGTAGTTAAAGCAATCAGGTACTGATCACATAGCTCAGTTAGTATCTAGTAAGGCATTGATATATGTTCAGATTGGTAGGCTCTACCCATGGATTTATCAAACAAAAATAAGCATGTGCTCAATGATACAAGTATTGAAGTGGAAGACATGTATAGTTCGATAGACTTTTGAAAAGTGTCTTGTTGTGTTGGCTTGTCCAATTTTTTGACTGAGAAATCTGTGTGCTACAGGAAGTGCATGCTTGATATTTTTCAACAGAATTTTCGTCAGGATGTGGTGCACATTATTTTCAATGGCAGTGATATATTTGAGGGTAAGAAGAAGTGTGCATTATATTCACAATTATACAATACATGGTCAAATTGTTTCAACTGGTAAGGTGAGCTTTGCATCATATTTGAGAGGTGTTTTTCAAAATATTTTGATGTCCTTTTTTTAATTTTGTCTATATAGAACCTATAACAGTAGAAGTATATGTAGAGAATCCATTACAAGTGACATTAGTATTATCAGAAGTTATGTTATTATGGAGTTTTTTACCCAGTATAGTTGGAAGTGTTGATAAACCTCAATTAATATCCAATGAAATATCTACAGGAGTTAAGGTGAGTGACATCTGAAACATAATTCACAACAAAATTTGCCCTTCTGCTTTTGCATATGATTTCAAATGACAAGCCAAGAACATTTATTTGGTTTATGTTTTAACTGTAGAAGAGGACAACACATATAACAATAAAAAAATTATATTATAAAAAAGCCTAATTCACTTCTTTTATAACAATAGAAATAACTTTCAATACAATCTGTTTCTTTTCTTCATTTCATCTGATGAGGACATGTGTAAATTGTATACCATCATATACTCCATTCTTTTTGTTTTAAATGCCTAAAAGTTTAAATGCTTAGTTGTATTTTTTCTAGAATAATTTAGCTGATGAAATTATACAAACTTCAGTTATAAAAGAAGTTATATTACAAGGCAGTGAAAGTAAACCAGTAAGTAGAATACAAGTAGATAAACATTGAAAGTTCTTTTTTCTTGAATTTTCTTACAATTACTTTTGTGAATCCCAAATTCCTTTTATTGCCAAAAAAGATGGATGATGATTGATTCAAAAGTTGACATTTTAAACTTCCAGATTCATCTGACCCTGGTACCACGACAACCTGGTGAATTACGTATTGTAGGTTTAGCATATAATTTAGGGACTACCCCACAGCCCTCTCAACAATCGACAGAATCTACATCTATTGATGGCAGTAAATCTAGTTTTATAAATAGTGTGTTTGTCCGCGGTAAACAAAGATTAGAAGTCCAAGGACCAAGATTAAACAACAATAAAGAAGAAAAAATTAATAAAATCTACGGTCCTGATAGACGGTTAGACTTAGTTGTTCAAGAAGAAATGCCCATTTTAGAGGTGAACATTTAAATTTGCTTTAATTTGTATAAAGGCTACAACCATATTTGGCAAGGCTTACAGATTAGGCTTTCAAGAATTCTTGTCCAGCTGTAATCCTTGGCCAAACCTTTTGGGACTATTATTTCTTAGATTGATCTTTCTCAGATTCTCTCATTCCATTCTACAACTTGGTATATCAGCTTTACGAACCTTTTGGAGAGTTCACATGTTCAAATATGTATATGGTCTATTAAATTAAGAATAATGATACTGATGATGATTTTAATGTGACGTCATCAGCCCAATTTAAACATCATTTTATTTCTGATTTTCAGGTGAATTTCTGTGATTTTCCAGAAACTTTATTGTGTGGTGAAGTTCACTGTATAGAACTAGAATTTACTAACTCTGGTCGCAGTCCTTTACAAAAACTACAGTTAACATCTAGTCAGCCGGAATTCTGTACGTTTGGTGTGGGATCTGACTTACCTAAATACCCTTACGTTTATCAACAGAGAGATGTTAAAGGAGAAAGTTTACAGTGTGATAATGTTAATTTAAAAGACTATTTCCATGTATCTAATGTTTTAGACATTCCATTAAGTGATAATATATTAAAACCAGGAGAGACATTATCAATACCAATGTGGGTACGTGGTAGTGATATTGGTGGTGTACATGAAGTAGATTTTTTATTTTATTATGAACCATTAGATCATCAGTCAAAAGTCAAGTAAGTCATTGTTTTAATATCAAAAAATATCTCAATCACACTTCCATGGCAATAGGCAAAATCTTTTGGTCACATTCCGATACTGAGTTTGCTAATCTGAATAATTCAGAATTGATTCTTGCACTTTGTGTTTTACTTCTGCAGATTACTTCACTTGCCAACCATAAACTGATGCGATTCTTCTCTCAATTGTGGTCTGTGAAATTTTGACCCAAATGTATATCAAGTTGAAATTTCATATTAACCAATCCAAAGCACTGTTATAAATTGTCAGACAATACAAGTTATTGTTTAACAATCAATATCCCAGAATTCCTCACATATTGTAAAAAATATTTTATTCAAGGTAGTTTTTGATTGATTAGAAGAGAAATCAAAAAAGGGTTTATAAAGTACTCTTCTTGTGGGTCTGAGTTTTCCATATCCAGTTTGGATTTAGAGACAAAACACAGTCAGTGAAATTATGACCTCTATCTTTATTCAGACTAATTTCCTATCTCTCAAGGGAGATAACTCTTGGGACAGACTTGATATTTTGAGATCACAATATTACAATGTAAAAAAAGTGGAGATGAAGACAACTTTTATCAGTTTCATATAATTTATTTTCAGGTACAGAATATTACGACATCGTGCAATAGTGAATACTGTAGAATCATTAAGTGTTCGTGTATCAGCTTATAAATCTACTAGTTGTCGTACGGCTAATCATGATGACAAACAACTGAATTCGTGTACTATAACTTGTGAATTAGAAAATCTTAGTCAGGTATGCCATCATTCGTGATTAAGTTTAAACATAGAGCCATTAATCACAAAGGGCCTTATGAGATAAAGCATATTTAGCAAAAAGTCATAAAATACTTAGTTTTAGTGAAATTGCAGGAACCACAATGGAAGTTGGAATGGTGCAAGTTGATGCTATCTTCATGAAAGTCATACTAAACTTTTAAATCCCTTTTAGGTACAATACCAAAGACCACATATACAGGAATTACAGATAATGCAAGTATCATGTGTTAGTCCAGTATGGTTTGTTAGTAGTCTTAGTACATCAGACCAAAAAGGTAAGCACTTGAAGAGTATGAGCTTAAGGAAATGAACTTATTGAACAGTTGCATATGTTTCAGATTGTAAAGACCCAATTTTTATATATATTCTTGAGGGCATATTCAGGCAGATTTTGACATGTTTTACCTTCTTTAAATTGTGTCTGTTTGTAGGTATTAGAATAGGCAGTAGAGAAAGCTTACAGTTAGTTTTAAAAGGAACCAAATCTAAACAAACAAAAGGTATGACATTTTTATAATCAAACGCCAGAGAAGCAGGTTTGGATAAAACTGACAAAGATTCCATATAATCTTTTTAAAACACAAAGAAATTAATATTTGATATTGATGTTTTTACAGGTGATAATTTTGTCGTTAGTGAAGTGCCGTTTGATATGGAACAGGTAAATAAACATCATTATCTATCTGAGTTGAGTCATATAGTGACATCATGTAAAAGAGTAAGCCTTGCCCTGCATCAAAGTTCTTATTATAGTGGAGCTTAATGTTAATAAAGTCTTTAGACTTGGACTTTGGAACTGAAAGTATATCTGCAGCCCATCCAATCTTTATTTGTGAATTTGTTATTGTTTACAGGTAAACAGTGTATCAACACCATGTTGTGATTTTTATTGTCGATCTCAACTTTGTCATAATAATCGTATGAAACAAGAAAATAGATCAGATAAATTACTAGATAATTTAAATGAAGCATTACGTGTACAGATGGTGTTAGTCTGTTTATGGAAGGTAATGCATGAATCTTTTATATTTTTATGTCAACTTTTATGTTTTTGGGTGTTTTTGGCCAACTTTGCTTTTACATGGATGCAGGTTAGAATGTCTACTGTAAAAAAAGATTTCATGTGAATGACAGTTGGATAAGGTTAAAAGTTAGGATATGGAGCTATCATTCATTGGCTCAAAGTGTGGTATTAAACTCCATATAAACATCCTAGCGCTAAGACCATTTCTCATTATTTGAGTCAAACCAGCGGCAAATGGGTAGGTTAAAAGATGAATGTTTGGTCAAGGAATAGTTGACAGGATCCATGTGTTAAAAATGGTGTATTCTGTCTTTATCTTTATCTCTTCAATTATATACATCATGTCATTGCAGGCATTTGTAGCTCAAGAAAATGGTCAAATGAAGATATTGGTTGGTCAACATCATGTACATGTAGAAACAGTCAACTCTATTGTGACTTCTTATCCTTTAGTTGTGGTAAATATTTAACTTGTTTTCCTCTTTCTCATAAGACTCAA